TAATTTAATTTAATTTTTTGGGGGGAGGGGTGATTTCGAACTGCACACTATACAAGGGCGTTGAGATTGAAACTATAGCCCTAACCTTACAAAAACATCCGATCAATTCTTGCAAACTTTCTTATAACATGCCCAAATATGACGTTTTTGTGATCTGCTGGTATCCAAGGAAATGAGGTACGACTAGTGCTAGTCCATATTGTCAGGGGCGGCTCGAGGGGCTAAAAAGTGAACGTGCACATGGTAAATGGGACGGTGCATAATTGCAAGATCTTTGTGTTGGTGAGAGAGGACCTCGTGCTTTTATTTTCATTCTTTTTACTTGTCGCTTTAATTTCTAGTACTACATTCGTTTCTCAGCTAAATATCAATCTCGTTTACCCTGTATTGGAACTGAACACTCAAGTAATAAGTTTCACTACTCCACTACAAAACCATTCAAAGGCACAACTCATAGGACGGTCACGTTCATCTCCCTCAGGTTCACGGTTACAGAGTCACTTAAAATAGAGGCAAGATATATAATGAACCAATCACAATTCACGTGAGCACTCCGCTGGATTGCCCCGGCGCTCACATAATAATTGGCAAAGAATAGCGTACGGTCTATCGCGTTTATTTTTAGACTGCCTACTCTGGGCTATGTTTCGGCACTATTCGGCAAGAGCACATTTGAGATGTGCCGTCTTATTAATATTAATGTACCGCCAAACTCGCTACGAGTGTCGTCATCGATTGGGTTATCCCCAAGAGCGATTTATATAGGTCAGGTTACACTGTTGAATATCCTATTATGTAAAGCTAAAGCGCGTGGCATGGCATAGTATATGTTTCAAGGCGCTATAGACACAGAAATAACAGTTATGGCAACAGTGAGGACCTTGTTTTTATATAATATTTAGCTGGTGTTTGTTTCTGACTTCTTTTACTTTATTATTGTCGGTGTTTAACGTAACAGAACATTAAAACATATTGAGCGACACTGCACGACCGTGCTCTATGCACGAACCGCGCCTGGATATTGGCCAATATTGAGTACGGTACCGACTAAGAGAGCTCAGTGTCGATAAGTACTCATACTTATTAAAGTTCGAACGAAGGGGCGTGATTTAAGTGCTTTTCCATAGGATTTAACGAAGGGAAGTAGAAATCCTGGGTACCTGACACCAATATCCGGATAGCCAATTTTGAGCTCTTTATCCAGGTATCCGGGTAATTACTCGGGTACTCGCCCAGCTCTAGTGAACACTTAACTTGCAGGCGAGACGCAAGGATTAACCCTGTCCGTACGTCGTGTTTTACTATGGTATTTTACTACGACGTGGGGAACTCTGTGCCACCTCTGTCCAAAGAGGAAATTTACTCGTTAATCCGATCCGTATGCTTTGCACAGCAGTCTGTCAAAATGATTTTTTGAGAAATACTAAAGGTTTCAAAGAGATCTTCGCACTAGAAGTATTCTAAAGTGTGAAAAATACAACCCATGGAGTACAAAATGACCCTAGGGCGTACGGATAGGGTTAGATTAATTGAACGCTTGTTAGGCGAAACTAAGAGGACGGGTGACTATGTTTGATCTGAATGCGAAGTAAAGACCATAATTATTATTTTTTTTAAAAACCCTATCTGTACGCCCTGGGGGTCATTTTGTACCCCGGGGTTGTATTCTTCACATTTCAGAAAACTTCTAGTACGAAGATCTCTTTGAAACTTTCAGTATTTCTAAAAAAAATCATTTTTACAGACTGCTATGCAACGCGTACGGATCGAATTAACGAGTAAATTTTCTTTTTGGAAAGTGGTGGCAAAGTTCCTGACTTCGTACGGATACAATAGTAAAATAACGACTTACGGATAGGGTTAAAATCACATTCTTGGAGAAGCCAATTAGGGTGCAACGTTGAACATTTTAAATTAATGTCAAAATATTCTAAATTATGATGATGATGATGATGATGATGATGATGATGATGATGATGATGATGATGATGATGATGATGATGATGATGAAAACCAATAAAAAGGAAACCGTTGAAAATGAAGAGAAGAGAATGAACAAAACATTGAATTGGGAAAGAAAAAAAAATGTGTTTTGAGATACACTAAAGTGTCCCTACTTTCCGGCAGATCTCCTCTATCGCGGCGTCTCTGGCGCGGGAAAAGAAGGGTTTCCTGGCTTCGTTGGTGGCGAGGTCCGCTTTTGTCCCATCCGGGTCATCGGTCGTGGTGGTGGCCTTTACCGCTTCCTGCACACGCCCTTCCATTTCCGCTGTGTCCACGAGGTCTAGGAGGCTCACTGTGTCCAGGGGAAGGGGAGACTTAGGTGGGATTTTTGCTTTTCAGATAGTAATTTTAATATGTGAGGCATTGTAATGGAATCAGGTGCTAGTCAATTTTGAGGCATGTGGAGTTATATTGGTATCATCTTAAGCCCTATACGTTTGCTTTGCTTTAGATGAAAAAATTTATCCCTTTAGCGTTTGTATAAGTCAAGATATTGGCGATGAAGGACGTGGATGCCACCTGATTTCAAAGGAAAAAATTAGCGAGAAAATAGCCGCCAAAGTTGCGTTATTTCCCTAGCTTGAGAGTCTGTGTAAACTAAAAATGTACACCTATTATGCATTTAATCAACGTTTTTCAGTAAAAATTCATATAGAAATGTGTTCTTTAATGAGCATGAAAGGTGTTGAGCCAAAAACGAAAATTCAATAAAAATTCCAAAATCTGCAGGGTAATGCCAGTTTCTTCACTTTCCTTTTATTTTGACGAGCGCCTGATTTCACCACACTGCCTCACATACGGTGTTTTATGCCGACATCAACCCAATTGGTCGCTTTTAAGAACAAGGGGCTATTCCGAAAAATACGGTTTTGAGAAAATGGAAGGTAAAGTTTTTGGACCTTTGTTCAGTTTCTTTAAAACACAAGGAGAGCTTTCTCTATAACCAAACACATATACACACCAATGAAACCAAACTTCTCCCAAAGGTAGGGCAACGCCTACTTTTGGAGCAGGTCAAAATTTCTGGAAACCCCTGAAATCAGGGTTTCGATTTCCTAAAAACAGCATTTTTGGGATAGCCCACTTGTGCTTAAAAGTGACCCTATGTGAGCCAGCGTAGTGAAATCAGGCGCTTGTCAAAATAATGAGATTTGTGTATTTTGACTTTTCCATGTGTATTTTACTCATAAAAAAAGTAATTTTGCAGTTCCCAAAGACACTCAGATTTTGGAAGTCACCAAACTTTGACGGCCATTTTTTCACAAACTTTACATCTGAAATCAGGTGACCCCCACCCTCTTCAATGGCAAATATCTCAGCCTCAATTCAAGATAGATGAGTGTTGTTTTCCATAAAAAGCAAGCCAATTTAAATGAACAGGCTTTAATGCGTCAGGCTTTGTGCTGTTCAGGCTAGAGAGGTGAGCATAGTAAGCCTGATTCCCCGTTTAGACTTCTCTGTTGACATTCACCCCTAGACGCTCGTGCGACCTTATGCAGTTGTGAGCACCGTAAAACCTTACTAAAACTAGAGTCCTTAAAGAGACAACTCACCCACAGTGTTGAGGCTGGCGGAGACTTTGCTGAGGGCCGCTCCTATCGCGTTGGCGACGCCGAAATGTTCGGGAACGATCAGCTCAGTGGCTCCCCTCATGGGCCTCGTCCTGTCAATCACGATACTGCCCCCGCCCACCACCACGACAGGTAGCTCCTCCCTGCTCAGTTTGATCCTGTCCACCAACTCCTCCAGAACTGCGTGGATCGCCTCCACAGATTTCCTCACAAAGCCCTCGTCCAAACCTTTGACTCTCTTGGGGTCCCCTAGCTTGTAAAAACCGGCAGCGACTGCGATATCCGTTGTTGTGGTCGATCGCTTTGCCGAATCCGAGTCGGTTCCGTCGCCGAAAATAAGAGCCTCTTTCAGGAGGTTCAAACCTGCGCTGCGTGGACCTATAGCCACGCCCTCTAGCTCACCTTTGCCGTTTCTTCTCTCCCTAACGTACGAGCCACCTCCGAGCCCAACGCTCACTACGTCAGGCATACGGAAGTTGGTTCGGACCCCGCCTACTTTGACGTGAGTGGAGGCTTCTCGGGGAAACCCGTTTTTGAGCACGCCAGCGTCGGCCGTTGTCCCTCCTATGTCGATGACAATGGCGTCTTTCAGCTCTGACAGGAACGTCGCCCCACGCATGCTGTTGGTCGGACCCGACGCGAAAGTCAGAACCGGCTGCTCCAGAACGCCCTCGCTACTAATGATGGTTCCATCATTCTGTGTGAGAAAAACGGGACTCGTGACTCCAATCTCCTCTAGAGCGGACTGAAAACCACTAACGGTTTTCTTACACAACGGTTTCAGACACTCGTTCAGGATGGTCGCGTTCTCCCTCTGCAGAATCCCAATATGGCCGATCTCGTGGGACAGAGACACGCTAGCTTCCGGGAAAACCTCGCGAGTTATCTCCCTTGCTCTCAGCTCCTGATCCGGTCGAGTTGGGGAGAAGATCCCGATGTACGCGATGTTTGTTATACCCTGCTTTTTAACACCCTCAATGACGTCACGGAGCTGAGCCTCGTCTATAGGCTCGTGTTCCTTCCCGTCATACCGGAAGCCCCCGTGCACGAGGTGGGCGGAGCCACGGATGATGTTCGTGAGGCCTGCTGGGATGTCGCTGAACGGCGGAAGTTCCTCAGACACTGGCCCGCAGATTCGGATCACTGCAACTTTCGCTAGATCCTTTCCCTGCACGACGGCGTTCACGAAGTGCGTGGTACCTGAAGATGGGTAACAGTAGTACTGTTCGTAATTGAATATTTTACTAAATAATAAGAACGTTCTCGTTTGTTGTGTACATGGGTGAGTGCATAATATGACCTTTGTACCACATTTGCAACTGTGTACCACCAAGGTAAAAAAAAAGAAAAGAAATATCGTCCATTGCACACACACAAAAAAAAGAATAATAAACAGTATCTACTGAGTAGCGACAAATTCTCGCTCAACAGAGGCTCCATATGCGCTTTATAATCTATAAACATCAAAAGTCATGACCATAAGAGGGAAGGGGAGGAATAACGCTGAAACTATTCCTAACAAAGACAACTGCGGACTCTATAAATAAGTTTAAAGCTTCGGTTGGGTTTAGCACAAAGTAAATTTCAAAGATGAAAAACAATTACTTACCCTGCTCTTCTAATTCAAAAGCACGTAACAGATATGCCTTCGGTCTTAGTTTTAGTAGAGGTTTTACGGCGCTCGCAACTTCATAAGGTCATATGAACGCCAGTAGATTAGAGGTGTTACAAGAGAGTAACAAACATAAAAAAGAAGAAGGGGAGATAAGGGCGATAGATTGATAGGAAAGAAGAAGCAAACCACACCAGAGCACCCCCCAAGCTCCAACGACATGAGGGTCTGCTTTGAGATTACTTCAATTAAAGTAAGTTTCATAGATGAAAAAAATGATTACTTCCCATTGTCTTATTCCAAAGGAGCATAACATAATAGATAGGACTGGGGTCTACTTTGAGATTGCTTCAATTAAAGTAAGTTTTAAAGATGATAAACGATTACTTCCCATTGTCTAAGGGGGCTCTCGTGGCCTAGAGGTTAAGGTGTTGGCCTCTCATTCAAAGGTCCCGGGTTCGATTCCGGGTAGCGACCAAAAGATTTTCTTCTCTAAAATTGTCTCCTTTCACATCCTTTATTGATCTCTAACAATGTTCTGTTGTCTGCTTTCATTTCTTTCTGCCCCCACCCCCTCACCTCCTTTGCCCCCTCCTCTGGGCTCCTGACTCTTTCTGCAGCCTTTCTACTGCTACTCCTTGGCTCCTCATAACTGCTGTCTTTCTGCCACACCCCTGATCTTCTGGTAGGAAAGATCTACACCTAGCCTTCTCGGACAAGGGCGAAAAAACTCGGAGGGCCCGTGTGCAAGTTGCGCACGTTAAAGATCCCTTGATAGTCTAAAATCGATAAGAGTAGGCTTCGGCCGCCACCCGGGCAAAATTCAAAATTTCCTACCAAAGAAAAAGTATTAGGTGTGTCCCGCGCGCTCATATGACCTTATGCAGTTGCCAGCGCCGTAAAACCCTATACTAAACAAACAAACAAACCATTGTCTAATTCCCAAAAGTGCATCATAAATGAGACTGGGTTTTGCTTCAATTAAAATAAGTCTTTAGGATATTAAACGATTACTTCCCATTGTCTAATTCCAAAAGTACATCACAGATAGGACTTTGAGATTGCTTCAATTTAAGTGGTCAGAATCTAGGGCATTTCAAATACGGATTGGTAAGAAGGGATACATTGGCCATATCCACTTGTTGTGAGGTATGTAGTCCTTTTCAAACGTATTCGAAAGTGTTCAAAATAAAGGACATGGGGAATGCGTATTGTCTCGTGAAAGAACAATTCACATTACAGAAAGAGATTATAGGGCAGAGTTTGGAAGCACATAGCCTAACACTTTATATGCTTACAATGTTTTATGATGTGAGTGTGAGAGGTACTTTAAGACAATTTACATCAGTGGTAAGACATGAGGAATTATGGAGTACTGTTAAAAAGGAATCAAGTGGTCATATTCTTTTACAAAAGATAGGCCAAGTATCATTGAAAAACAAAAAACAAAAAACAACCCAACTCAAAACAAACAGACAAAAATGTCTGGAGAGCTCCTAGCTTCTGTCCAATTTGTAGAAAAAAAGAAAAAAACATAACAAAAAAATCCCGCAACAACAACAATAACAACAAAAAACAGCAAACTCACGTACACAAAAAGACAAACAAAAACACTTCCAGTCCAATGAGTCCAAGTGGGATATTTTACACGATTTCGCCCGAGAGTATCTAACTTAAAGGCTTTTAAAGGTGTGTGTATGTGTAGGGGAGGGGATGAGGAGGGATACATTTCCAAATCCACCTGTTGTGAGGTATGTAGTCCTTTGCATACTTATTCGAAAGTGGTCAAAATAAAGGACATGCGGAATATGTACTGTCTAATGAAAGAGCAAAATACATTCACACTACAGAGAGAGAGAGAGAGAGAGAGAGAGAGATTATAGGGCAAAGTTTGGAAACACATAGCCTAACACCTTATATGCCGACAATGTTTTATGATGTGAGTGTGAGAGGTACTTTGAGACAATCTAGAACAGTTCCCCGACAGTGGTAAAGCAACGAACGCGCACTTGAAGACTGGGTACGGCTATAATTGAATCAAGTGCTCTGCATTCTTGAACAAAAGACAGGTCAAAAGTCTCTTTAAGAGATTTTATCATTGCATAAATAAAGTCTTGAGAGCTCCTGGCTTCTGTCCAATCTGTGAAACAAAAAGAAAAAAAACCCCCGCACCCCCTCTCCCCCCAAAATACAACGCCAAAAAATCAAATCAAAACAAAACAAAACAAAACAAAACCAACTAAAACAAAACAATACAGCAACACCTGCAGCCCAATCTAACACGATGTCGTCTAAGAACGTGTATCGTAAAGGGGCGCATGCGGGGAGAGGGAGGGGTGGGAGCAAGGGGCGGGGGGAGGGGTGTGGAGGAACCAGGCACAAACCCCTTGGGTATGAAGTAATGTGCAAAGTACTTACAATATTTTAATTAATATCTTAGCAAGCCCACGAACTGAGATAAAACTTGAGGAGTCGGGAAACACAGTGGTTGCAATTCTCTCTAAACGTGTACATTTTTGTCAAGTGGAAGTTTTCAGCATTATGATAAAATAATCTTTACAGTTTAGCGTTCAGATAACAAAACATGTACAGAAAAAAGTTCTACTTTGCGAAGTCTATTGACTTATAATGTTATTTCATAGAGCTGGTAATTAATATTGTAAGTTTGAGCATGTTTTATGTCCTGATCTTCGCAAACACAGCCCTCTACCCTCCCCCCCAAAAAAATAACAAGAGAAAAAAGCAAACACCCCCCCCTCCCCCGGGCTGAAAATGGCGGAAAAAAAATTATCTCATCAGGAATTTGTCGTCTTCAGTGTGCAACGCTAAGTGCATAACCAAAAGCTACATTACAAATGATGGTGTACGCTTATATGACCTAATGCAGTTACGAGCGCCGTAAAACCTCTACTAAAACAACAAAAATGTTGCTGTTGTCGTTCCAAGCATACTTAAGAAGATTATGTCCACTTCTAGCGCTGCTGCCAGTATGATAATGAGGTAATGTTCGCCCGTTTCTCTCTCTCTTCACAGACAAGTGACGTCATACTCCTCAGCCGTGAGACGAGTGGAATTTTTCCTTGTGTGCACAGTAGAGGGCCCGAGGGATGCGAAACATTGATAAGAAAGATAAACAAAGACCCCCCCCCCCAACCGCCCCCCCTTCCACATACAACCACTAAAAAAAGAAAAAAAAAGCCCCTACCAACCAACCAACCAACCAACTCAGCAACCAAACAACAACAACAAACAAACAACCCCCCAAAAAAAAAAAAAAAAACCCCCCCCCCCCAACAAAAATAACAAAACGAAAAAGACTCCCAAAACAACACCCCCCACCCAGAAAAAACAAACAACTCCCCTCCCCCCCAAAAAACAAAAACAAAACAACAACAACAACCCAACAACAGAAAAACAACAACAAAAACAACAACAATGAACAAAAGAAATACATAATAAAAATAGAAAAAGAAAACAACAAACAATTAATCGTCTCACCTATGTTGACCTGGATCGGGTTCACCGTGTGACCTTTGCTCTTGGCCTGCAGCAGGCCTCGGAGCACGGCTTTCTTCACGCCCGTGGTGACGTCACTGCTGGTCAGCTCCTTGACCTCAGACAGAACCTGGGGCCTGCCGTCCCTGTGGCAGATGAGGACCACGTCCGTGTTGGTGCCGCCGATGTCCACTCCGATGACCACCGGAATTACTGACGACTCCATGTTTTCTGGGGAGTTGGAGTTGGCGCAAAGAGGGAAAAAAATATAGTGAAATGGTTGAATTACTTGAATTACTTGAATCTAGAACTGGGGTCTTACGAAGACGAGATGCTCCATGCTTTCTTGCCCCTCTTCATGAGGGCCCATTTCAGTGTGGGCAGGCTGATTGTCTGCTTCATCAGCTGGAAATGAGCTTGTGAAATGATATGATAATTTAATTCATAGCCATTGCATTTGTCTATGGATTTTGGGCATTCTGCATTGCATTTAAACTTGTTTTATTGATACCTCATTCAAATGTAAGCAATGGGCGGTGAACACTTGGAGAGCGGACCTAGAGGGTCAACCAGCAGCTCATCTCAGCAACAACAATTACTTTTGCTCTGAACATTTTGAAAATGGTGAAATGGTATAGGTTCAACGCCCCTATCAACACTGTTAGGTTATTTAAGAGGCGGGACCTCCAAGTTAAACGCCCGTCTCCGAAAGGACCGAGCCAAGTGGGAAATTCGTGTAAAGTGTCTTTCCCAAGGACACAGCGTCGGACCGAGGTGAGGCTCGAACCCTTCAATCCGCAATCTCACGTTTACCTGTCCGGTAGCCTAACCACTAGGCTACTGACGTACGACCAAAGAGGAGCACACTTAATTTCCTCAACACTATTTTTTTTCTCTCCGCTACCTCAGAATTGCAAAGTTCTATCTGACATTTTTGGTCGCATTGAGTTACTAAGACCATGAGGTCGGAAACCAAAATAATATTCTATCTGCTCTATCAAAATCTTAAGAATATTCGAAGTCGTTACCAAGGTATTCGGAAAAGCTTGACCATATGTAAAGCTCAAAATCTTTGACGTCAAATTTCCTCAAACTAGGTACTTAGCAGATAGAATGTAATTCTAAGGTAGCGAGTCTGAATGATCTTACGATTTTGATAGAGCAGAAGATAGAGCATTGAATTTGGTTTCTGATCTCATGGTCTTAATACTCAAAACGGCCAAAAAATGACTGAAAGAACCTCGTAATTCTGAGATAGCGTACAAGCTAAAGCATTCATTCATTCATTCATTCACATCTCGTGAAAAGTACGTCAAAAAAAACAACAACCAACAACTTACCACGTGTAACACAAACAAAGGAATTTCACAAAGTAGAGTCACGATGGATAGTACATGTAATTCTGCGTTAAAGGACAAAGACCCGTGAATAATATAATAATACCTTAGTGGTGGGCCAAAAAGTGGACCTAGAATCGGTTCTCCAGTTTCTAAATATAGATTTAGATCTATAACGAGACAAAAGCGAGGGTCAAGTGTTCTGCTTTTCGAGACGGCGAAAAGCACGCGCTGTAGCATCTTATTCTTTGAAATAATATAATGTGTCGCGAAGCGGTGGAATCAGGCGCTCGTCGACATTTTTTGGGCATGTGGAGTTTTTGGTGTCATCTTATAGTATGTTCACTAAATTGTCTTATCTTTCGATGATTAAAAAGTACCCATCTATCTTGAATAGAAGTCTAGATAATATATGCGATTGAAGGAGAGGAGGGTAGTCTGGGTTCAGACGTAAAATAATAAGGGAGAAAATGATTGCCAAAGCTTGGTTACTTCGATAGCTTGAAAGTCCTTGGAAAACTGAAAATTTCCTTTGCTTGTACCTTTTATCTATTTTATTTTTCAGAAAAATCCAAACTGAAAAGGGTTTTTAAAAGGACATAAAAGGTGTTGGGCCAAAAATCAAAACTTCGACAGTAATACCCAAACTGTCATAGAAATGCAGGTAACTTTGATTTCCTTATTACATTTTGAGGAGCGCCTTGTTTCACCATGGTGCTTCACATAATACAATTATAACATGTTGTTAGTTTTGACCTACTGTAGGAATATTGTAACACGCCTTGCTTGTGTTATACTTAATTAATGCTTCGACGGCATTTTTGACAGCAACTTGAGGCTCGAACACAAAGTTTATGTTACATAATAATAAAATAATGGGCTCTATTTTCTCGTAAGCAAGTATGGTACTTTTCTGACAGTTGAACAAGTTTTTGAAAACTCCAGTTCAAATAACGAAATACCTCCACACATAACGTTGTTAATGAAGAAGTTACTAAAAATAGGAAAATGAAGTTACTAAAAACAGGAAAAATGAAGTGACCACAAAAACATGAAAGTAAAGAAAAGGACCCTTACCCCGCAAGAAAGATAAAACAACAACAACAACAAACAAACAAACAAATAAAATAAATAGATACAAGGAAAACAGGATCTAGCGATTGAACTTTGCATAAAGTATATTATTCAAATTTCATGCTGCTTCATCTCGCTTCCTGAGAAGTACAAAGTTCTAGATTCTGTCTGCTCCCTACTTAGTGTTAAGAAATTTGACGTAAATCATTTTGAGTTTCACAACACGCAAGCTTTTCGAATGTAATTATTTGAATATCTTTATAACGATTACCAAAAGCCTTACGACTTTGATAGAGGGGATAGAACATCATTTTAATTTGGTTTCTGATCTCATGGTCTTGGTAACTCAAAACGGCCAAAAATGTCAGGTAGAACTTTGTAATTCTGAGGTAGCGATCTTTCCCAATTATTGAGTGTTAACCCATCCTAAATAGCTCTGGTGTGATCTGACGATTAGGCTCTGAGCCGTTGCAAACAGAAGTGGTGAGTTCGATTGTCGGTCGGGTAGGGAAGGATCTTTCCTTTTTAATCAAGTATCTTCGTCAGTAAATTGGGTTACTGTATCCCCATCAGACCAGCTTGGTTCTGACCACAGAACACCAATACTAGTATTGGTGTTCTGTGGTTCTGACTGACAGGCTCGAAGCAATCAATTTCCCGAAGAGGCTAACTTCCCTGGTGATCTAAATTGCGTCGATGGGAGCGTGGAAAAAAATCTAGACAGACCCTTACAGCAAAACAATGAATTCCCCCAAAGCACCCTCAAGGGTCCCACGGTATGCAAGTTGAAACACCTGGTCTACTAAGCAGTAATGTGTCAACAGTCCTCCAATTAAAAGTTCTAATGTAGAAGTAGAAGAGGGTGCGTAACACATTTAACGACAACCTTTGCGCACTATGGTGTGCAAGCTGTATGCTTGTTGAACGCACAAAAACACAGACGCAAGGCCGCGAGAAGAGGAGGGGGAATAGAGGTGAGGGTTGAGGTGGGGATTGGGGGTGGTGGTTTTGAGG